ACAATCTGGTATCAGTTAAACAGTTTGAAGCGAGTTGTAAGTAGCAGTAGTAGAAGACAGTTTCTAGAGAATATGAGAACACGGTGATAAAATATCTTTTAAACATCTTAAAAATTCATCTAATTGAGAAGTAGGTACTTATCACATTCAATTACAACGAATGATAATAGTATTATTACCAGTAGGATGAGTCGATAAGTTTATGCGTATAGGGAAAATAACATTATAATTCAACAACTGCTCATAATTTCATGTGCTTGATCATAAAACAAGCATACTGTGATTGAGTTTATCATCTTGTTAATTGGCTATGTACTTCGTCTCCAGTAAGTAGGCTAAAAATGAAAATTTTTATCGATTTCTGACTTTACGTAACTCACCTACCAGGAACGCATTCATATATTTCGCTTTGATCTACACTTTAAATGTGATGACGATTGATGCCATTCCGTTGTTCAAACTGAATCGGTTGAAACGGAATTCGAACCTGCCACCTAATGCCCGAAATTCGAACCTCAACTACTGAACTGCCGATTTACTGCTGGTTAAATGGTAATCAGTTTCGTCATCAGGATTTTCTATTAAATTTTTCGTTGAATACGTACATTCAATCATGCTTTCTGCGGTTAATCATTTAGATTGCTGTAAGCAATCGGATAGTATGATGAGCATTAAAAAAGACAAATCTACTGACTCAGAAGCCCGAATGAACAAGTAACTCCATATATAACAAATTTTAGTAAGCAAACTTAGTTTATGCAACAGAATAACATACGTACAAAAATACTCGATGTATATAAAAATTTACGCAGTTGAATTCATAAGCCGATCTAAACTAGATCACCATTGAAAACCTGGCAGCACTGGACGGCCGTTTCGTCCTAGTACGGGACTCCTCATCAGTACGCGTACATGATCTCATACGTGGGACTCGGGCCTCACGTTCGAACGCTTAACTCCCAAACCACTGAGACGATATGAAGGATTGCTCAAGGTCATATCTCATTGAAGTTAGACAATAAGACAGTGGTCTAGAGATTAAGCATTTGCACGCGAGACTGGAGGCCGTGTGTTCGAGTCCTGAGTGCGGGATCGTAAGCGCGTACTGCTGAGGGGTCCCATACTAGGACAAAACGGCCGTCCAGGTTTTCAATGGTGATCTAGCTCAGATTGACTCGTGAATTTAACTCTTAAGATAGTACAATCTCCACCATTCTCCATATTCGTATATAAGTTATGTTAAGTTACCTGTTACCAATGCCATTAAATATTTGTGCTATGTCACAAATCGGTTGACGTTGGAACTGTGCCATTGGACATTGACTCAGTGGTTCTAATGATTAAGCATTTTCTGAGAGACCTGAAAATATTGGATCCGACAACTGACAAGGTCGGTAACGCACGTTGTTGAGAAGATAGACACTAGGACATTACAACAGTTCACTGCTTCCTTGTTTTCAATGATACCCCAGCTGGTATCAGTCGATGAGAAATACCACCTATAGATGTATATTCGGTTAGAATCTAAAAATGTCAGTGATTCTTAGACTCAGATTTTATAGGTTATTATCTAACCAAGGATACTGACTTATCTTTCACCTGTCATATCAAGAAGCCAACCAACGATAAACTATATCGCTTTTTTATGTAGACAAACTAGATGAAATGAGAGAAAATTCTACTATCATATTTAATACTGCCCAGAAAGCAAAGGACAAACAGGATTTTTTTCGTAATTCGGTACTTATTACCGGGACATGCTCACGAGTCTTCATGAAAACAAATTCCAGACTTTCATGTAAGTCACCAAGTTCAATAACCTTGCAACTGTTGAGTGAATATCTAGCACTTAACACTGTACACTGCATTGAGTTTGTGACATTGTCCAATGTCTTTAATAAATTATCATCCCTCACTTGCTGACAAAGTCTATTCCACATGTCATAGTATTCCAGTGGAACACTGAAATTTATCAGGAGGCTAGCTCACTATTGATTAGTACGTAATTATTATTTAGTTAGTGGTTTGTGGAGACTGACTGACGATAGATGAAATGACATTAAGAATCGGATGCAAGCATTTAATTTATCATTTCCCAATAATAATCCTCTTCCATCATTATATGTTAGTTATGTGGCTCAACTCCTAACCTAAAGCATCATACCGCGCTTTTCAGCAAAAAAATCATTACTTCTGTCTATTTGTTTCTCCAAAATGTATTTTATTGTGCTTTACTAAATAAGATGTTGTGACATAGTAAAACAAACCAATTTTATTTTCTATCCTCTTTTCGTTGATTACTCAATGTGGATAATAAAATTATCTATGCTTGAACTTGAAAATAAAATCACCTTGCTTTTCAGAGGAGAGAATTAGCCAGTTCAACCATAGTTCACTAATTTCAATTATGATTTTAACTTTAACCCTGAGGTCGAGGTCAAGTTTCACATATTGGTTTTCGTGTTACTGTGTTGTATTAGTGTACTATCCAGGTCAATTTAGTGATTCTATTTTTCTTTCTACTAATGCTGAATACAATACACATAAACACAGTCACAATAAGATAGATTTGAGGACAAAGATTTCTTTTGATAGGTTTTACAACAAAACAATAGAAAATGACATCAATTAGTAAAGTGTTCGTTTATGAGTGAAGATATGCACGTCTGTTCTTAAAGCTTTTATTAATACTCATGCACACACCTACAACATCCACTTTTAAGATCGCGTCACTTTGAACGTTACCATCTGGTTGATCCTTAAACTAATAAATAGTTGATAACTTTTTTTCGAAACTTCATTCACTTTAAAATAAGGATCGTGCATATATGTATACTTTGGTGTCAGAGAGGTCAGTATACAATATACAATCCAACTTCTGTCTGACCATCGAAGATCTTGCTGAGCATTCTCGTACTTTACGGCACCTAGGCATCTAAGCATTACCCCCGAATAAACAGTACAGCACGGAAAAAAATAACACTCGTTTTATAGAAAAAAATTACCAGGTTATCTACAATACATCTTCAGTTACAACCAACCAATATAACTCGTCTATAAGAGATGATCTACCTATTTACACCTGCAGATATGCCAATAACGAGTCGAAAGTCGCCGTACTTCATGTCTATTAAACAAGTATCATGGAAATACTGCGCAGATTAGATGCAGTTAGTCGTCATCCGAGCTATTATGGTAGACATTGTCAAACGGCCTAATCATGTAACTGAAATCGATCTGTAACGAATACAACTGAGAAATCAATTTTAAAATCTGAACCAATTAAAACTAGGACAGTATGTTTGAAAGTTCTTCAAGGTACAATGTTATCCAGTGAATAAATGTCTCCATAGATCACCAAGAACTGTCGAATGAATTCGAAGCTTTACTACTAAGTTTAACGTCATCTTTCCGTATTAGTATTACGCTGAACATTCCATTCCTAATATTAAACATAATAATTATACAGTTCGTTAGCTTTTCAAAATATATACGTTCAGATAGTTTTGTGTTGGTGAAAATTTGTGAAATTAGTGAAAATTATCCGATCAACGTATGATTCGGAAATTCTATCAGTCTACATTTGTTTTGGTGGCAGATAACTTGGACCGTCAGTATTATAGATCGAAACAAAAAAGGTGTTAAACACTGGTTTTTAATAATCTAGATGTCTGCTACCTTAAGGCTTTCATAGTTCAAATCAACAGTCGATAATTACATAAACACCTAGTTTCCAGCGCTAACTACTTACCTATTCATCTTTTTTTCCGGTATTGCTGTAAATGTCTCTCAGCAGCAAATTATTTACTTCTTTTTTAAATATTCATTATTGTTTGTTATACTTTTTCAATATGCTACTTATTGGGGATCAAGAGTCGTTCATAAGTTTAAAAAAATACTATCGGATATTTTGATAAGAAAAACGTAATGTAATAAAATGTTATTGAAGAACATAATTTTTTTTTCGTACATCATCTTATTTTATATGAAATTGACAGTGCATAAATCATTTGAATATGATATTTAAAGTAAAACGTTACCATAAGCCATTTTTATTCCATTTACGTGCTATGATTTGGTTATATATCCAGTTTGGAAAATACAGACAGCTAATTTCAAAAGACCTTTTATGAACCCTTGTGGCGCCCTAATTTCGTTTAAATTATTTAACTACTGAATTTAAGTTAGTAGATACGAACTGAAGCCATATATAATTGTCCTTTCTTAGGAAATACCACAGGTACATGATATGACTCCTTAAGAATTTAACCGTCCTGTGAGCACTTTTCTCTTCAAGTTTTAGTAATTGATGTGTCACATCTTCCCCTCTATCAACATAATGGTTCGAAATATTAGAGTGCAACCATGTCAGTAGTGAAACAGTCATCATCATTGTTATCAGATGACCACGAGCTGCATTGCTAACTGATTAAATTTGGAAATGTGTACTATTTACAGCCAATGTATCTGTTTTATGGTCAACTACACTTAGTGATAATTCAAGCTCCTAGGTTTAATACTTTGTGGATTTACGAGTACAATGTGACCATGAAACTTCAGTGTAGTGTTCTCTGATATCCAATGTTTATCCTACCTGAAATTAATTCATGACGAATGCCAGATAATTATTAGCTAAAGAACTTTATATGATTGGCATGTATTAATAGATGGTTCTCGCTCTTACTATCCAACAGCATTTAACATCAGATTCTGTCGTTTTACCGATTTTTTTTAATGTATCTATAAACTACAATCGATCTCAATAATATATCTTTCACTAGAGAAAATATTAAATATCCGATGCCAGTGTTCATGAAAATAACATTGTCAAACCTACTATTTAAGCATTCTCGAGTTTTTTTCTTATTTCCACAAATCAAACTAATTATGTTTTGCTGGGGAAAAAAGTTAATTTTTGTCTTTCTGTATAATTCATTAGATCTGTTCCACTTTCTACTTTTTTTTCTCTATATCCTTAAAACAAACAAAAAAATATATAGTCAGATTCGGCAAATTTACCGAAAGACAATTTATCAAGCCCGTTACAAAATGGCCAAATTCATCCACCAATATCAAATAATTGTAGTAGTAGTAGTAGTAGTATTCCAATTAATCAACCCACTACACCGACATTAACGCCTACATGTTTAACGACTAATATTATTACTTCACATCAAAATTTATCAAACCCATTATCTATACAACATGTGAATTCCTCATCATTGCCTGTAACACTGACAACACAATCATTGACAACAACTAATGGACAAAATGAAATGTATTGTAATCAATCTGTACAAAATCAATTGAAATTAGCTCAAGCTCAAGTGAAACGATTAGAAATAGAAATCAATCAATTAAAACGTCAAGCTATACCAGTAATGGGTAGTTCAATGAATGGATTAGTTTATCCAACAAATTATACTAATATTGAAGTAAGTTGATGAAAATTTATTAGATGAATAGATTATATCATCATTAACGGATGTTTAAAATATTTTATCTCACTTTCACGTATATTACGATAATACGTTATTATTATAATAAGATCAGTCACGTTATATCAGAATCAAGATTCACGACCCAGAATAGAGAACCAGATACGTTTATTCGATTAGATTACTACAAATAGTTAGTTTACACTTGAGTGTGATCCGGGAATGGTATCATTTAAAACCTATCCCTCCATTATTTTTTAGTAGCTTAACCACTCATCTGTCCTTTTTTGTATAGGAGTGGATTCATATAAGCTTTTTCTTCTTATTTTCTTACTTCTGACATCCATAATTCGATTACGTCACACTTGCGAAGATATATTCAACGAGAATTCATAAGTCTAGGTTTTTTTGAATTTTCATGTACATTTTCTTGGCAAGTTGTTTCTGCGGTTTCTAAGAATTCCAAGTATTTTGTGAAATTTGAATTACTTATATTGAATTTGGTACCAAACTATGTGAATCAAATAAACCCTAAGTGAGCATGAAGTATGTATGAAACATTCACTTAACACCCACTATTCCCAAATACTGATTTTAGTTAAGAATTCAATTGTGCAGTGGAATAACTTTACATACAGATATCAAGTAAATAATGAAGAATTCAGACTTAGAAATAGTTTCTTGCCTGTAATGTTCTTACATTAGACAATGAGTATGGAAACGAAGAAAATAAATTGGCAAGTTCCTACCAAACACATAAAGCCTTAGTATAACAGCATTTAGTCATACTGTATCCTCTGAATTGATTTACTTTTATAGCTCTCATTGTTCTAAATATGGAAACCCAATTGTACTAGAAATCTAGATATTTATTTTTCTATTGTTTGGACTTATGTTTATTGTCACAAATTTGCTTTCTCCCTTGTTTTACGTTTAAACAGCCAGGAATATCAATGGATAATGTTGATAGTCCTGATCTACGATGTGGTATTTCACGTTTGGAATTAGATGGTACTAATGGCGGTGGAGGTGCCGGTGTTAATAGTAATGGAGAATGGATAAACGAATTGAGCATTAGTAATAAACTTAAACCAGTTGGTACCATTCATCCTTCGTTGGTACAAGGTAATCAAAACAGACTATTATGGATGGATCGCGCATCACAAGATACTGTACGATCATTGCATATACGTTTAGGAAACGTATTAAAAGAAGCCTTGGAAATTCATAGTCGTTTAAGTTCTCTCCTATCGATTCCATCAGTAGAGTAAGAAATTTTGTGTTCACTACTCTCACTGACTGACTACTTTTTTTCAGTCTTCCTGTATACATGACTTTTAAAATATTTTTTTTTCATAATTTAGTTTAGATTTCTTAATGTGTTGTCGAGTTGTTTTTTCTTCCGAAATTAATGTTTCTCTTCTAAGATGATGAACTTTTCCCTTTAACAACAATACAAGCATCTTCAGTTTATTCTTTTTGGTAATAACGGATACCGTTAAATGCCTGTTACTATTTTAGTCATCATCTATGCTGTTGTACAGCTCATGTAATCTACTTTTTTGCTATACTGGTGAAATGTAAATTCTTTTTCAATTTGTTACATAAAATAAAATTGACTCGAAAAATAAATAGAAAGAACTAAGTACTGTCACTACTATTATTCGTACATAATAATGACAAGGCCATAACTATCTATCCTAATGCATGATGTTTGCTTTATTTCTCTTAACCGATGTCTCTTATTCCCTGCGAATTTCCTTTTCTTCTACCTTTTAAAATATAATTTGAAGATTAACTTTACTAACACTCTTTAATACAGCGGTATTTCTTTAAATATAATGATTCGTCTTTAATGTCAATAAATTACTTAAATAGATTAAATTTGATTTATTTCCCGCAGTGGAATATCCACAAGATATTTCTTATGTACTTCGTGTATCAGTCGATCGATTGTCTGAAGGAAACACCTTACTGCCGTCACACCTCTGTACAGTCGGCAGTACGACTTCGGACCTTGGGTTTGCTGCTTTTAGTCTTACCGCTCTTCAACCGACCTGTCTGGCATGGCACTACCTTGAGGAACGGTTGTCCCAGCCAGTATAGCTCGATTGGTTCATCACGATAGGCAAGCCTGAGCACCACGTCAAGGTAGCAGCAAAGGTCAGGTATCGACCTGACAACTATTATTACAATAACTCCGAGTGGTTCATAATTTTCCAGAGGACGATAATACAAAGTGGTAACTACAGTTTATTTTCGTACAGTATATCTCAAACAACCACCAAGCATATGATAGGAGACAATGAGGAAGCGAATAATTTAATGGAAATTATGAAGTAGATACAAACAGGCATACAGATGAGCCATCTCGCGGTTTCAGCAACTAACATCTAGGCGAGTGAATATGGCCTGCTGCTCCGGCAGCATCAACCAGTTTATCCTGCCCCCCATGGCCGGTGACGACTGATCCACCAAACGAGGCGGAAGTCCGCAAGGAACTCCAACTCTTGAAACGTTACAAATCACCGGGCCCAGATGACTTACCTCCGGCTCTTTTTAAAGATGGTGGTGACTTTCTCGCTAAGGAACTGACGGTGTTGTTTGCAAAGGTTTGGGAGCAAGAAAGTGTTCCAACATCATGGAATGAGTCAATAGTCGTCCCTATCTTTAAAAAGGGCTCACGTTGTTCCTGTAACAACTATCGGGGGATAAGTCTACTTCCGATTGCGTCCAAACTATTGGCTTCTGTCATTCTTCGTAGGTTGTTTAAAACCCGAGAAAGATTGACTCGTGAGGAGCAGGCTAGTTTTCGTTCTGGTCGAGGATGCATTGATCACATCTTCATCCTCCGCCAAATGTTAGAACACCGTCATACTTATCGCAGGCCAACAATCGTAGTGTTTCTTGATATCAGGGCTGCCTTCGATTCGTTGGACAGGACTGTTCTCTGGGATTGTCTATTGAAGAAGGGTGTGCCTGAGAAGTTCATTAACATCTTAAAGGCCCTGTATACGAACACCTCAGGCAGAGTGAGAGCATACAACCACCTTTCTCCCTTGTTCCATTCGAGCAGTGGGGTTAGGCAGGGTTGCCCGATCTCACCATTCCTCTTCAACTTTGCCATCGATGACATCCTGGAAACAGCTCTGATGGATGTAAGTAATGGCGGTGTGGGTCTGTTGCCTGGAGAAATACTTCTCGACCCTGAGTATGAGGATGATATTGTCTTACTGTGCGATAATGCCCGAGGCATGCAATCCGCACTTAATCAGTTGGCAATCAGTGTCCGCAGGTACGGCATGTGCTTTGCACCCTCCAAGTGCAAAGTACTCCTACAACACTGGCAGGATTCCCATCCTGTACTCACCCTGGATGGTGAGCAGATTGAAGTAGTTGAGAAGTTCGTGTATCTAGGCAGCTATATAAGTGCTGGTGGTGGCGTGAGTGATGAGATTGATGCACGTATAATGAAAGCCAGAGCGGCTTATGCCAATCTGGGCCATCATTGGCGCCTTCGTGATGTTAGTCTGGCTGTAAAAGGTCTGATCTAAAATGGGTCGGTGAGAGCAGTTTTGCTTTGTGCTTGTGAAACCTGGCCTCTCCGAGTTGAGGATGTTAGACGACTCTCTGTGTTCGATCAACGTTGTCTCCGAAGGATTGCTGACATCCAGTGGCTACACCATGTTAGTAATGCAGAGGTTCGGCATCGTGTGTTCGGGCGCAGAGACGATAATTCAATTGGTGTCACCATCTTGAAACACCGACTTCGGTGGCTTGGGCATGTTTTACGAATGTCGTCCCAGAGACCTCCACGTCGTGCATTATTTGCCGACTCTGGGACTGGTTGGAAAAAGCGGAGGAGGTCAGTGTATGACATGGTGTCGTGGCATGAAAGAAAGCTGCAAAGAGCTAGCTTCTGTTGGTCCTTCACGACTCCCTGGCTGGGGTCCGAGAGATGGTGCAACACAGTGGCTAGAGACGTTATCGGATATGGCTCAGAATAGAAGCCAGTGGCGATCCTGCTGCAACCTTCTTTTACTTTCTACATAAAGAGTGGTTCTAACTTTCTTAACTGAAAATGTCTTCTGGTTGTGCATTTTAGTCCGCGTTATCTTTTCATCCCTTTCTCTTCCTACTTTCATTATTTTGTGTGGCGCATATGTACCTGGTGCCCTTTTGTACCAATATATATGTGTTTAAATAAATAATTCGTGGGTCGTAACATATAATCAATCATACAAGCATTGGAATGTAAGGGTACTTAGTTTGTTGCTGTTCTCCAAGCATTGCACTTGGTAGAAAGATGAATAATATGAAAAAACTGTGTAATAATTTTCTTTCCAAATGTTTCAATAGAAATACACTATGTATCACAATACCATGCAACTTGATGTATACAAAGAATATCATGTACCGTAATTCAGTCGTACTAAGGTAAAATAAAAGCTATGCAGAATTCAGATTCCTCTGAAAATTTTGCTAACAACAGCTAATCGCATACTAGCTGAGGTAAAACGAAGCATTCCAAGAAGTCCTATGGTACGATGGCTTAGTGGTTACGATACACCTCTTCCTACCATTGGTTCAAAGTCTCGAAACTTGTTCTCATCATCTCGCACTTTCGGAAGTAGCAAGGCAGTGTCAGCGAACTCCCATAACAAGAAGTATGGCTCGAAATCAAGTACACAACTCAGTATGTGGCTACTTTACTTGTTGAATTGTTTTACTTTATTGTCTTTATAAGGTCACAATAAGTCTTAGACACAAAAAACAATCAATTCATGCGCTGAATAAGTATAGAATTAGAATAAACCGTACAATGCCCAAATGAACGCATCTCAATACGTCGGGTACGTTCACCGAACACCTGTTTTTGATATATTGGATCTCCAAACCACGATTCTCCTCTTACATTATTCAGATCAATAGTACTTCTTAACAATATGGTATGGGATGGTTAGAAGACTTAGAAATACACCTTGTACTACCACGAAATATCGCACTAATCTGCATATAACAATCATTCTTCTACAAACTCACTGAAAGAAATTTCTGATGAAAATTAAGAAATCAAAAGTCTTTTGTAGTATATAAAACCGGAATGTTATTACTACTTAAGAAACACTGCCAACCATATAAAAATAATAACAAACACCAAAATAACAAAAACTTAGTGATTTTTGACGAGGAAAGTTAGAAAATGCTTAAGGTGTTTTTAAACATAAATGCTGCAACCAATTATTATAAAACATGGGGTTTTAATTTGACAATCAGATTACATTTATTCCTCACAAATGAACACCTCTCGTCTCATCCGTTTCATTTGTTGATATGAGTCCGATTCAGGATAAGCGCTACGCTTACGATAAGGTCTGGTGTTTTGTTTCATCATTACAAAGTGTAATGAATCATAGTGCCCTGAAGATGAGTCTTCTTCATTGTCAGAAGCAACTTCGTCGTATACTGTTTTACAGTCATCGAAGACAATAGCTTTGCGATCAATAGTACTGAAAGCTAACGGTTCTATCGGTATGAAATACAAAGGTAATTGTAACTTGTCAACTGGTTGAAATTCTTTGCACTCAATTAATTCACAATCCATATTAGTATCAATAGAAAGTAGACTATTTTTATAGACAGACTCGTAGACAGTATGTTCGTTAGGTATTTCAACCATTTCATTTCCTGAAACCTTATTATCCATAATCGCATGATCTGAATAAATAACCTTTTCATACACTGGAACTACATTTGTGTGACAATTTGGGCAATAAGCTATAGGTAATTCATTAGAACATTGTTTTAAATTAGAAACAATTAAATGATCCCGTTTAAAGGTTTCCATATAATTACCCGATTCACTTGACAAAGATTCAAGAGACAACAAAAGATTAGTGTCAAAGTTATTAGATATTCTTGACTTTCGACGTTGCTGAACCCACCTTGACTTTTGAGTATCTATATTTTCTCGAGAGGGACGCTTAAAAGTTAAGCTTGACCGCTTCGTTGTGCATAATAGCGACCATAGCAAAGGCTTTTTCTTCACTTTCAACTTATTCTCCACTAAAGCGCGTTGTGAACCAGGATTTTTAGAAAACCATCTCATTATAGACTAAAAACATAGGATTAGGAACAAAAAAACTAACTAATATTTGCTGATTTTAAATTTTCGTAATAACAAAGAAATCCCAACTGTGATCGAACATTGAGACGAAAAACTCTATGGATTTTATACAACTTACCCCTTAAATTTGACTGGTTTAGTGGAACGTGCTTTTAGAATTAAAATTTAAGTTGACTAATATCTAATTAGCGAGTAAGTTTTTGACAGAGTGGACAACAAAAATTTATTTCCCCTCTTTCTCTACGCTTACTGTTTTATATATTTAATCGAAACACACATGAATAAGGAATTCGTAAGTAAAAATTTTCATTTTATAAATAACCGATTATGTGACATCATAACTAGGCATTAATGCATCAGCGGCAGCCTCCGCATCAGTAGGCCTCAACATACACAAAGGAAAAAGCAAGATCCTCAAACACAACACGAAGAGCGCCAAGCCAATCACACTTGATGGAGAAACTCTGGAAGAGGTAGATTCTCTCACGTACATGGTCAGCATCATTAATGAACAAGGAGGATCTGATGCAGATGTAAAGCCGAGGACTGGCAAAGCAATGACAGCATTCCTATAGCTGGAGAACATATGTAACTCAAAACAACTGTCAACCATTAGCAAAGTCACAATCTTCAATAAGAACGTCAAGACAGTTCTACTGTATGGAGCTGAAACTTGGAAAACTAATACAACCATCATCAAAATGGTACACGTATTTATGAACAGTTGTCTATGTAAGATACTCAGTGTCCGTTGGCTGGATACCATCAGCAACAGCCAACTGTTGGAGAGGACAAACCAGGTTCCAGCTGGAGAGGAAATTAGGAAAAGACGTTGGAGGTGGATAGGATACACATTGAGAAAATCATCAAACTTCAGCATGAAGCAGGAATCCTGAAGGGAAATAGAAAAGTGGAAGTCCGAAGAACATACTGCGTCGAGAATTGGAAGTAGATATGAAAAGGATGGATAGCAAGTGGAAAGGATTGCTGAGGACAGGGTTGGATGGAGAATGCTGGTGGGCGGCCTATGCTCCTCCACGAGGGGTAACAGGTTTAAGTAATTATAACTAGATATGGTCGTTTATACGCTGAATAGCAATTTATAGTAACAAGCATCTGAAAATACAACACAGAGTACATTTCATATTATGACTAATTATAGGTATGTTTGATTTATGATGTAGTTTTCACATAAATCAGATGTGTATAGTGGGTAACAGCAACTACTGTCAAAATTCATACACTGAACAATGTGACTGAGATGACTAGTATGGACTACGGCATGGTAGTCATCTGTTAATTTCGTTGGTGACTAAGTAACCTATTAAAACCAAGTCCTTCAATAACTCATTTGTCAAGTGATATTTAACCCTATTTCTGCATTGCATATTTCGCTTGGAAGCATGTCATTTGATTATAAACAACATATTCTGGTAGCCAGACGTTTTATAACACAACTTATGTCAATAATTTGGTTTGGAGAGTAGTTATTAATAGCCTGTATTGTGCATTATATATCAGTCCACATTTTATATCTTAAAACCCCGAGATATGATCATCGTCAAAACCAAATACTGCCTCACTACAACACGGTCATACCTATAACATAAAGTTTAACCGTATTGCATGGCAGGTGAGTAAACTTTTGAGCTAATAATAACTCTGGAGTCCAAGATATTGGTCAAACAGTAGACATAGTCGAGTCAGTATCCATCAGCCTGACAACTTCATCTCTCTGCGCTGAGATATTGAGACTTGAGCCGACGTATATACGTACAGGTCCTACGTCGTAAATAACTAAGAGGTGAAATATAAATCGAACGCGTAGTTAAGCTATCGAATTCGCAGAGGACACCTACTGGGAACAGAAATTCCTAGTGTCAATGCAACTAGCCAGTCATAATATACTGCAAAATGGGAATGAGGATAGCTGGTTTAGTTCAATCAACAAACTGAAATTGCTTGTTTAACTACATACTAAACCAACTGTGCTTCATTTGGTATGTATATTACTTTATCAAAAACAGCATACAGCACGGCACAAATGGTCAGCAAATCAAGTCGCCTCACCACAAAAATACCATGAGATTAAAGCAACAAGGTCAACAACGAATGAGTTTAAGTAATGTTAGCATTGATGTGATCGGTTTCGAGCCATATAATCTAGCACCATCAAACACCGCTCATGGTTAGCGGGAGGACCCCAACTAGGGAATCTGAACTTGACAATGCTGTCCAGTTCAATAACCAATGGTTTTGTGTACTGATCCTACGCCTTTATTTTTTCTTCCCTTGGTTTTCTCTCAACCTATTCTTATACCGGCAAACAGCGTGTCAAGGTGAGTAGTTGAAAACACGTAATAGGAACCCAAAACGCCTTGGTCGACGAAGAATCACTACCACACCAACTGATTTGACATTTTCACCTAGTGCTCTGCACCTAACCTCAGCATTACACACTCGATGGTTTCAACATTGACGAGTAACAATTCGAAATCACTTATAATCAAACACTAATTACTTACGAGCATCCTGTTTTCACAGACCGTATACTGCAGCCGCAAAGCTAGACAGAAATGACTGCTGAATAGTTCACCAGTACCTTGCTGTTTAAAGGTTGTATTTAGGCCTTGAGTGATTACAAAGGTCATTTTTCTAGACACTAGAAAAGATGAACTAACTTATCGGTAGTTATCACAGAGGATTATATTCTTTACTCACAAACTCAGAGGACTGGCGATCGATATGGGATTGGTTCCAGATTTTTGGCTATTTCACTTAACATGTTTAATTTTGATTAGGATTCTTGAAAACCAACCAAATCAAAGAAAGTCACAATGAAAACTGTTTCTCGGTTTTTAAGACTGTTTTAAATAGCATTTGTGAATGCAAGACTCCGACTCAAGCTATGAAATTAAAGTCATTTCGGACAATCCTAAATATTTTATAGGTAAACACGTTTTTGAGGTGAGATCCAAATTGATTGAGCATCAAACACTGATAGGACGGAATTAAATCGTATCCTAACTAGAGTTGGAACACATCCGCCATGTCCTGCATTAGAACCGTAAATCATAGTTTTATGTTAAGGTATATGCTCCTCATGACTAGCCCTACGTACCGTTGAAATCATGAGCTAGAATACACAATCATGACCTGGTGTTCGCTTAATTTTCGTCCGTCTCAGCTAACGTCTTTGACAAAAACGTAAACATATAACTCAAAAGAAAAACCAGACAAATTACCAACCGGATGGTGCGTGTCAACCACAAATGTTACTTAGAATCACCTTTGTTACTATTTTATAACCAATTGTAAAGAAGGTCAATCGATTAAGACCTAACAAAATAACCAATGAGAGTGAAGCTTATACTGAGCTATTAATGAGGTCAAATTTAATATTTTCCCCCTATCTTGAATCTTGCTCTCAGGTTATTGGCTAGAATTCATCAGTACACATTAAATTTTGTAAGCTGTTTTTAAAACACTATGGTCTTTGGCTACGCATGTGTCATATTACTCCTTTTTATGTAGCGTGATGATCCCACTGATGTCGATTTCAATTGTGTGCGTCTAGTGTGTTGTTTTGGTTACCTTATATTTATGCAGGCTTTGTGACATTTTCACATCTAAAAGAAATGGATAAACTTCAAGAATGAACAAATATTGTGGTAGGACAACATGGATTTACCCATTTCATGGATTTATATCCGCCATAAAACATGTAAACCTGTTTCGCTTCAATCACTACTACTGGAGTTTTAGGTTGTAAGCAGCTGAAGAGAATTCACGAAATGAATGAATTCATATGAATTTCATCAAAGTTTGCCTTTATTTCATCCTTTTTGTTTGCCTGGCATGTTATTCTGCCGTTATGCTTGTTCTTTTTGTATTAAAGTTGACAAACGTGAAAAATTGTAGGGAATGGATTACATTGCAAATAATTTCCATCCCGCATTACTACATGTATGTTATGTTTCTAAAATTACAGTTTCTCTGTGCACTCGGTAGTTAACCTGTTCCAAGAGAAGGCTGCTACATGGTAGTGGGACGATTAGGTCTTTAGTATTGAGCCTTGTCAGTGAGGAATTATAGCTAACAGAACTTAATGTTTGAGATATTCGCTTCCGTAATTATCCACCTGTTAACTAAATCTTAATAACAAACCCAGGAAAGGTAGTCTGTTTTCAGACAGTTTAGATATTCACCCTCCAACACACTTTGAAACAAAGGCGATCCTTTTAACAACCAGTTGTAGTTATATTTCGTAACCTAGTGTCTGTAGTTGGTTACGTCGATCAAAAGAAATTTTCGACGAGATTTGATGAAACGAAATAAAGTATTAAGAAATAATGTTCACTTACTAATACCGAATAAAGCCTTGTTATGCACCAATATACTCATTGTAAACATTACTATGATGTAAAAAAAACTTCAATTGGAATTCTGTTGAGTAAAATTATCATCTGTTTTACACTTTCTTTTCTACTGATACTTCGAAACTTTTAATAGCGGATACTAAGTTGTCTAAAAAGAAATGACTTCAGGACTTATCATGGGTTTCGGTTTTACAGTTAATATGATTTATCATAATATGATCAATTCCATGTTTGAAAAACAAACAAATTCATTGTCTTACTATCTCGCAGATTCGGTGAAACTAAAAACTACCTGATGTATACTAAGCGTTTTTCTTGGCAATCTGCAAAGACTTATATAATCAACAAAGCTTCCGCGTTTACTCAGCTACATGTGGACTTTTATTAATTCTGCAGTTTTAAAGGTGGTGATACCAATTTTAAAAAGACAACGGAAATTACCCAATTAAACTATACGCATCAATTCAACTATTAGAATTACTACAGTCTCCACCAATCCCCATCCTGATAAACTATAGATATCAAAGAAAAGGACACCGTTTTTATACATTGTTGATAATTGCCTTTTGTGATCTGAATATCTTAACTGTCATATAGCTGACTATGGGGTTGGTTTGTGTAGTCTGGGATGATTGAGACCTAATAGAAATGTAATCTGAGAATGAAAAAAACTGCATCAATTAAGTATGGTTCATTTTAGTGCAAACATGAAGTATGTATTTCAACCATTTTTATGTATTGCTAAATCAACACCGTATATTTACATAATTTCAAAGTAACTAAGCTAGAATTTATTTAGTATTGTTTGTTTGAATCTTCCCATCGATGACGAGTCCCGAATAGGACGAAAGCGCGTCCTGGATTCCACTGCTAGCCACTATCCATCTTTGCTTAACTAAGTTAGATTTCTAACTTTTTAGTTATTAAATTAAATTTCTATCTCAAATAGATATTAATCAGGAAACCATTGAGAATAAAGGATCATTGAACAGCTATTTTATTTTACTTTGGGACTTTTCATAAGTTCTAGGTCAGAATCCGAATTGACAGTGCATTTGAGATGTTTAAGTGTGACATTTTGTAAATACCCTCCGCGAAATCGGAACAATTTAAAATCAGTGATTTAGTCTTAGTGTGTAAAATGCCAATAGTGATGTATGAACTTGATACTGTGATGTGAAAGATATGTTTGTATGATAAAAAAGGAGTAGAAAAAAGTTTATCCCTTGATTATTAGTATTTTAAAATGGGATAATGATAGTTTACAATGCAGTGATTATAAATTATAATCATGACAAAAGTGAACATTCGAATAACTCGATAACTGATGTAGCTAAACGAACAGTTTATTCACAGAAATAACCTTTGAATCCCAAATGAATAGTCATGAAAGAACAGAACCACTAACCAGATATTTATATATATTTGAAAGTTATTATCAATATGATAATGACTACGAGTTCACTAGTGACTAATTGTGAACTGTGACCAGTAGAGTCTAGTCGTTTCAAACGAAACATTTAGTTACTTACTGAAGACAACAGAAGATTGTTGCGCAATATCTTGAATTTATTGAAGTTAAACATGTCAACCATTGGATGCTGACCCGGTTCACCTAAGTCTAAACACTCGTGCTGAGAATTCTATATTGTACCAGATTATAATATTGAATAAAGCCATTAATAATAATAATTACCACGAAACCTGAAATTTCTGGCTTCAATCCTCAGTGGGGTCATGAATGAGCAAAGCTGATGATTTATCTACCAGGAAGTAACAACTGTTCAGGGTTTCCTAGTTCTCAACGATAACCTGACTAAGATCATCCACCGATGTTAATCATAGAACCCAACAATTCTCACAATATTAGCTAATTAAAGTTGCCTTTTTTTAAATGTTCACATTAGTTATTAGTTATTAATGTCCCATTGTTTACGCTCTTTAAGAGTGATCGCATTTTATAGACCAATATACTAGGCATTACGTTATCTAAGGGATTCAGCATTATTATGTATTTTTGAAGTTAGTCTACAGGAACACGTGTACTTAGGTTTCTTACTAGTTGGCAGTTGTCAGTATGATGTATCTGAACTTTTTAGTAAATTGATGCTCCTTGTAGGATTCCAACTCATTCCACCAATTGTCTTGGTAAGTGATGTTAAAAGTGATCATTTCAAGTCGAATCTAGTTTCGTGTGAGATTGAGATAGTTACACCATTTGACCGCTTAGCAGTAACCAATGTTCCGTTGTTTAGTAATTAACACTGAGCAGATTTTGTTGACAAAACAATTGGTGATTCTTCCCTTCTCCCCTTGTAATTGATAAAGAGATGGTTATATGGTGAATTCTTAATTCCAGTAACTAGTTTTTGTGTACTGTAGGTACCGAAGTTTCATTATTCAATTTATAGAAGTAGGATATGTGTGATGGTCATTAATACGAATGTGAACCATCACTAATGTATTAAACAAATAATATCAACCTCGAATATATAGAAGACATTGCTTACAAACGAATTTGTGCTAGTAATTATGATTGATAACTCCGCCTGTAGCTCCTCCAGGGGCTACTGCCGGTCCCAAGCCCACACAAAGGAGGAGGGTTGGGCATGGGGTTAGCGACCCCATCCCGTAGAAAATCAACTCGCTAAAAAAACGCTAACCAGAAAAAATCATTCAAACCTTTCAAACTCTGCCCTGGGAGTAGAAGGAAAAATGACGTCTCATGATGAAAGCCGAGTTCATTCGGAAGTCATGAGGCCGATGCACCTTCTTACAACCAGAGCGACAATTTTTATAGGTACATGGAATGTCCGGACAATGTGGGAGACCGGCAGAGTCTTCCAAATTTCTGCGGAAATGAGGAAATACAACCTGGAAGTGCTTGGAATCAGTGAAACACATTGGACGCAGGTTGGACAACAACGACTATCTTCAGGAGAACTTCTGTTATACTCCGGTCATGAAGAAGAAAATGCCCCACATACACAAGGAGTGGCACTGATGCTGTCTAGAAAAGCACAAAATGCACTTATAGGATGGGAATCTCATGGACCGAGGATCATCAAAGCTTCCTTCAGAACAAAGAGAGAGGGCATTACAATGAACATCATCCAATGCTATGCGCCGACCAACGACTACGATGAAGACGCTAAAAACCAATTCTACGATAGGCTGCAGTCAATCTTCGAGAAGTGCCCAACCAAGGACCTGACCATTCTAATGGGAGATTTCAATGCCAAGGTTGGAAAGGACAACACTGGATACGAAGACGTCATGGGACAATATGGACTGGGAGGAAGGAACGAAAACGGTGAGAGATTTGCAAACCTATGTGCCTTCAATAAACTGGTCATAGGTGGCACCATATTCCCACACAAAAACATACACAAAGCCACTTGGATTTCACCGGATCACACTACACAAAATCAAATCGACCATGTCTGCATCAACAAAACGTTCAGGAGGACGATGGAGGATGTGAGAACCAGAAGAGGAGCTGATATAGCATCCGATCACCATTTGCTGGTCGCCAAGATGAAACTAAAACTCAAGAAGCACTGGACAATGGCGCGGACAACATCACAAAAGTTTAACACGGCCTTTCTTCGAGATGCTGACAAACTCAACAAATTCAACATAGCCCTCAGCAACAGGTTCGAGGCCTTTCATGACCTACTCAATGGAGAAGGAACCACCATAGAGAGCAGCTGGAAAGGTATCAAGGAGGCAATCGTTTCAACATGTCAGGAGGTTCTGGGCCAAAAGAAGCACCATCACAAGGAATGGATCACTGTTGGTACACTGGATAAAATTGAAGCAAGGAGGAACAAGAAGGTAGCAATCAATATCAGCCGAACAAGAGCAGAAAAAGCCAAGGCACAAGCCGAATACACAGAGGCAAACAAGCAAGTGAAGAGGAGCATCAGGACCGACAAACGTAAATATGTGGAAGATTTAGCGATGACAGCGGAAAAGGCTGCAAGAGAGGGAAACATGAGACAACTGTATGATACAACAAAGAAACTTGCTGGAAATTACCGTAAACCAGAAAGACCAGTGAAAAACAAGGAAGGCAAAGTAATCACCGACATTGAAGAACAACGAAACAGGTGGGTAGAACACTTCAAAGAACTCTTGAATCGACCAGCTCCACTGAACCCACCCAACATCGAAGCAGCACCCACAGACCTCCCAATCGATATTGGCCCACCAACAATTGAAGAGATCAGCATGGCCATTAGACAAATCAAGAGTGGCAAAGCAGCGGGACCAGACAACATCCCGGCAGAGGCACTGAAAGCAAATGTAACAGCAACTGCCAAGATACTCCACATCCTCTTCGGTAAGATTTGGGACGAAGAACATGTACCAACAGACTGGAAAGAAGGACTTCTCATCAAGATACCAAAGAAAGGCGATCTGAGCAAGTGAGACAACTACAGGGGCATCACTCTCCTCTCAATACCAGGAAAAGTCTTCAACAGAGTATTGTTAAACAGGATGAAGGATTCCGTGGACGCTCAACTTCGAGATCAACAAGCTGGATTTCGTAAGGATAGATCGTGCACAGATCAAATCGCAACTCTACGTATCATTGTGGAACAATCAATCGAATGGAATTCATCACTGTACATCAACTTCATCGACTACGAGAAGGCATTTGATAGCGTGGACAGGACGACACTATGGAAGCTTCTTCGACACTACGGCGTGCCTGTGAAGATAGTCAACATCATACGGAACTCCTATGATGGACTAAACTGCAAAATCGTCCACGGAGGACAACTCACCGACTCGTTCGAGGTAAAGACCGGTGTTAGGCAAGGTTGCTTACTCTCACCCTTTCTCTTTCTCCTGGTCATCGACTGGATCATGAAGACGTCAACATCTGGAGGAATGCACGGGATACAGTGGACAGGCAGGATGCAGCTTGACGATTTAGACTTCGCGGATGATCTGGCTCTTCTATCACAAACGCAACAACAAATGCAGGAGAAAACGACCAGTGTAGCAGCAGCCTCAGCAGCAGTAGGTCTCAATATAAACAAAGGGAAAAGCAAGACTCTCCGATACAATACAATATGCACCAATCCAATTACACTTGACGGAGAAGCTTTGGAGGATGTGGAAATCTTTACATATCTGGGCAGCATCATTGATGAACACGGTGGATCAGATGCAGATGTGAGGGCGCGGATCGGCAAAGCAAGAGCAGCATACCTACAGCTGAAAAACATCTGGAGCTCAAAACAATTGTCAACCAACACCAAGGTTAGAATTTTCAATACAAATGTCAAGACAGTTCTTCTGTATGGGGCAGAGACGTGGAGAACTACGAAAGCCATTATCCAGAAGATACAAGTGTTTATTAACAGTTGTCTACGCAAGATACTTCGGATCCGATGGCCAGACACTATCAGCAACAAGTTACTGTGGGAAACAACAAACCAGATTCCAGCGGAGGAAGAAATCAGGATGAAGCGCTGGAAGTGGATTGGGCACACTTTGAGGAAATCACCCAATTGTGTCACAAGACAAGCCCTCACATGGAATCCTGAAGGTCGAAGGAGAAGAGGAAGACCAAAGAACACATTACGCCGAGAAATAGAGACAGACATGAGAAGAATGAACAAGAACTGGAAAGAACTAGAAAAGAAGGCCCAGGACAGAGTGGGTTGGAGAAAGCTGGTCGGCGGCCTATGCTCCATTGGGAGTAACAGGCGAAAGTAAGTAAGTAAGTAAGTAATTATGATTGATATCACATGACCTAATGGTGGGAGGATAATATTTCGCTTGTTAACTATGATTTCCTCATATGAGAGAATACTGTTGAAGACTGTAATAAATTTTTATTTTTGTCTTTGGGTTCGATGATAATTATTTATTATGAAAATCACAAATTTAACCAGCCTACCAACATTAACTCATGGTTCTACGTCCTGAACATATTGATGAGTGGTAAAATAACTTGACTGTCATCGGCTGGTGACAGTTTACTTTATCACCCAATTAGCATCTAATTAATCTTGGGTAAACTATGTGGTTAACAGACTAATTTATGAAGTCTGTACAAAATGACTAGTCTTGTGGTCTGCGAAGCCTGTCACCATCTGCAATTGTCTATACGTTTGTAATCAACGTGATTTAGTCGATATGGCTCGGTCAACGAAACGAAAGTTGTAGTCACATGACAAATTCAAGCCACAACACGTCTATTTCACATGTTATTTTTATGGTGATTATATATATATAGATAGATAATGAGAGTAAATACATAGTTGTTTACTTGTATAGTACTCACCGACGATTCAAAGTTCAGATGTTGTATTTGGATAGTATATCAGTTAATAGCGTTCAATACCTGAATCAATTGTAATCCATTTGAAATTGCTTTCTGATTAAAAGTGTCATATTGATCAGGCTAACAGATGAAGATACATTCATCTTTTTGTATCATTTTACCTGGTATCTTTTTCAGTATACTAAGTCCTTTTTTTCTCGCGTTGTTTTGTGATGTACTAAATAGAACTAACGGACATTTCCAAGAAAACTCCGCGTATTTGTTCTCTGCCTATTGTATAAGTTAGAAATTACACAATGCCAACCTTCAGTATGTGAGTATTATTCTAGTATATTTTAATCAGTTAACCAATCAGTCGATAACAAAAGAGTCTTTACATCAGCAGTAAATAAATGTTACATGATGTTATATCATTTTTAGTAAGGCGAAAATACTTAGCATTCGTATGATATAAGCAATTACCTGTACTGGTTTATCACTTTTTCCTAAAACAATAAATAGAAAACACTTTCTAAATGGTGGAAATCAATAGCTAGGTGCTATTACCCATTTGTTTATTTATCTATTGAAAGCAATTATTATATCTGTACTTAATTTCAATAGCCACAACATATAGACAGATACTAATTGGTATAATAACAGGATGAACTATCCAGTAGGTGTAAGAGGAATTTTTTAAAACTACAGTAAATAAGTAATGGAAAAAACACTTCATGAATACTTACTTAAGCCTGTTACCCCTCATGGAGGGGCATAGGATACTCACCAGCATTCTCCATCCAATTCTGTCTTGGGCAATTCTTTTCGGTTGCTATTCATCCTTTTCATGTCTGCCTCCCATTCCCGACAGTGTGTTCTTTATTTTATGAATAGTACCGTAGTACCGAAATAAATTCCTCTA